GCAGTGGAAAAAAAAAAAAAAAAAAAAAGAAAAGAAAAGAAGACTCTAGGGCCCTCCGCCTTCTAGCGCCCCTTTCCTCACGAAAATAAACTGTGTGACACTGTTATCAGGGTTTAAAAAAATATTTTGCCATTTGGTAATTTTTGCGAAAATGAGCAATGGGTATTTAAAAAAAAAAAGGGAAAAAAAAAGGGTGTGACGGTGTTTTGATATCATCATTGAAGCTGACCAGCCCCAGGTACTTCAGATCTATATGTTATTCTGGGCATCTGATTGCATCTGGATTCAAACTTGAGTCTGTATTTCAACAGTTCAGTGGTGTACCAACATAGCAATTGGGTTTTGATCGGGGGAAACAAAAAGAAAAGCAGCAGAAAATTATCAGCACCCCTAGCATCTGCCCGGGTTGTTTTGTTATTACAACAAAAAAAAAAAAAAAAAAAAAAAAAGACAGCTGCATTTGACTCACCAAGAGATTGGAGCCATCATGTTCCTCTGGCGGTGTGTGATGTCAGAACATGATAAATCTTTTTTTTTTTTTTTTCATGATAAATCTTTAAGTAGACCTCTGCTCTTTGTTTTATTTTTTGGCTCGCAGGAGAAGGCAAAGCACTGTAGGAGTGTTGCATTGAGAACCACCCCCCCCCCCCCCCTCCCCCACTCTTCAACATTCCTACAGTGATTTTGGGAAAAACGATTCGTCTAAAAGACGAAAAGTGCATAGGGTACACAGGCAAAGCATTTCTTTTTTTCCATGGATTCTCCAAAAGCTTGTTGTGTGCAAGATTGTGCACAAGATTCTGTCCAGGATCAACAGGCATTGGCTGTCACCCACCGCCGCACGTGGTTGAAAAGCCATCCTCCAGAGATTAAAACGGCGATAGTGAGCTGAGGGCGTCATTCAACACCTTTTGAACTCAAGTGTTGGAGTGAAAATCTTCGTTCCACCCCTCCCTAATGACGGCACCGGTTTGTTTTCGCATGCAGGCTCCCTAGTGTGTGCCCTTGAAACTCAAGTGCGGCCGGGGCAAAATCGCACTCGAGCTCAAGGTACCCCATGGAGGTACCTTGAGCTCGAGTGTCGGATCCTTGGGGCTACCCAGAGCCCAGGACCTTGTGCACTCCTGAAATGACGCGCCAGGAGTTGCAGACGCCGCTTCCGTTTCAATTGCAGCGCTTTCAAGTATTTCGTCTAGTGCACATGGAATCAAGAAAAACTGTTGTGCAAATTAATCGCGATTTGCGATTAGGGCACGCTTGAGACTCTAGGGTTCTCTAGTGGTGCCGAACGAGGCCCTGAGGCCCCATAGTAGTGGAACAAGACCCTTTGTGATTCCCCACGCCTGGCAAATTCTCCGGTCCTTTCGTTTCATTTTTCAGCCCCTGTGGTGCGGCATTTTGTCAAGAAAACCGAAATTATCATCTCTCAATGTCTGACACCTCTTGAACCACCCACCTACTCTCCATCCACTCTCCAACTTTTCATGCGTTTTTTTAGGGTGCCGAAGAGAGAGCCTGTGCACGATTCACTTCCACTCTTCCATCGCATTTTTTGAGGGTGCGGGAGAGAGAACTTGTGCACAGTCCCGCTTAGGGCTTCGCTGCACGGTCCCACTTAAGGCCTCGCTGCACGGTCCCACTTAGGGCCTCACTGCATGGGACACGAAATGAAAAACGAATCAAGTGCATCTGTTCACAGAGCTGGAACAATTCATGCATTTACTATAAATAGCAACAAATGTATTTTGCCACGTTGTGCTGCCTTATGTGCCTTGCAGCGAGGCCCTTTACGCGGTCGGCTTGTCTTTGGCCGCTGACCTCTGCAAGCGGCGGTCACAAACAGATCATCTGGGCAAGTGAACCGACGCCCCAAACTGAAAAAAGGGGAAAAAAAAACACATGCCATATGCATTATTATGCACTGATTGCCTTGCCACACTGTTCTGAGCAAACAGACTTCATCCTCAGACACTGGCTGAAAGGACGCACACGTCTACAGGCCTTGCCACATGGCGTTGCAACGAGTTTGTTTTCACCAAGCCTTCACAAACCAACAAGTTGTTTTTCATTTCCTTTGTTGATGCTTCACCGGACGTAGCACGCGAATTGCTATGTGCCAAGTCCACCAGTTTTAGGCGGGCAGTTGCAAGCCTGGATAAGCGAAAGAAAAATTGCAGGTCCCAAGCAGGGGTTCCACTGCGTGACAGCGACGATGGACCCTGCCAACAGTAGGGAATGCAGCACACTCAGAGAGTCAGTACAGGGAAGAGCACCTGAGAGAGGACACACATCCCCAATTTTTCATGTATCACCGTTAACCTCTAGGTTCTCACTCCAGCTACCAACAACTGTGTACACATAACAACTCTTTCAGTATTGTACAGGGGAAACGACGTGGGAGTCGCAAAAACGAGTTATAATTGCACTATGGGCCAAGATACAGTTTTGAATTGCAGTTTGGGCAATGTATACAACCCAGCTTTCTGGCCAGGTATGGTGCCCGGAGTTTAATTGCAAACTGTACCTTGCACCCAAGTGCAATTATAACTCGTTTTTGTGACTCTACTGAAGTTACCCCTATGTTACCGGGACGCTAGGCCTGATTTCGAGCAGGTGCCACGTCCCCCCCCCTCCTCCAATAGATGGGGCCTTCAAAGCAGGACCACCTAAACCACCAGTACTTGGCCCAGCTATCCACCGCGGAAAAGAATGGAGTAGAAACATTTCTAGTTGGATGAATTTGGGCACTCCTGTAGTGGACCGTACGTTTCCTAAAATCGTGGCTTGTATACGAGCACTACTTTAGGAAGTAACTGTGGTTTAACAGGGATGCTCTTGTCCACCCGGTAAGTGGAAACCTGCAAGTTCGATTCTTAAACCACCAGTACTTGGCCCATACATCGGCCACGGCCCTTTACCCGTTCAACTACCAGTACCTTTCCCAGCCATTTTGCCATTTCGCACCGGTTAGCACGAAGGCCGCACTTGGTCTCTGGCGGCGGCCAGGTGCGCCGCCAGAACTCGGCGCGCAGGGCCCGCGGTCGACAGCTGGGAAAGGTAAAGTTGCGGGTCGAGGAAGCTGTTGGGCCCAAGCAAAATCTCAAATGGACTGCACGCTGTCCCCTTGGTTTATGGTTTATGCTGTGCATGTGGAAACACATGCAGGGGCACAGCATAGGCCAGAAAAGAAAAAGAAAACAAACCAAAACCAGAGACTTGCTAGAAGAAAAAACAAACAAAGCTGTACCGGCCACTCTGTGGGCAAAATAAATGAGAAAACTTCCTTCAGTGCTGCCAGAGCCCTGCCTATCAGGGGCGAGGTCCCACTAGCAAAGAGGAGTGGATAGAACCCCTGAATCTGGAGGTGTTCTTGGAAAGGTGCAGAAAATCAAGATTGGACTGCTTTTCTGCATCTCTACTCAAAAACCGTCCAGATTCAGGAGCTTATTCCAATCCTCTTTGCTAGTGCGACCTCGCTCCAGGGCTGGCAAGTGGGCAGACAAAGGGCCTTCCCCCACTATTCCCCACCATTAGCCACTGCTAAAAAATGAAATGTATCTTTCCATGTTCCAGAGGAGGATTCAGTCTCCCTTTGCAGGTTTGAATAGTTGCCCTGGCTCCACTGCTTGTGGTAAGTCAGGATCCGTACTCAGCGGCTTTCCGTTCCCTTAGAGGAAAATCCCACGTAAGCCCCGCGGAGTACGGGATCTAGATGATTGGGAAGAACGGGGTTTATTTTTCCTTTTTTTTCCCTTCTTTTTCTTTCTTGAAAAGAGAAGAGGGACGGAACATAAACTTATCTTTCCTTTTCCATCTTTCCTTTTCAGGACTGCCCCTGCTGTCTTCCTCGCGTGGCCGGTTAACGACCGCGCCGAGAAATCCAAGAAACAGTTCGGACTGAGTGTGGGTAGGAATTTTGAAACTTTTGCACGCGCGCACCATCTTCCCTTCTTGCCGCTCATTTCCTTCTTGCATGCCTCTTCGTCTTCCCTCGAGCAAAGTCCGATCCTCTCCTTACCCATCATTGCGAGCGATTGGTTGTGTAATTGGGATGGTCAGATCAATGTGGTGAGAGCAGAACGCGCGTACCACTAGTTTCCCCATTAAGCACTGGTGGCCACCAACGTACTTCTTCGATGAGCTAGTTGCTGTGCCTCTCCTCCGGGCACCTCCCCCTATGAACACTATTAGCAGGCTCTACTCCATGCCGCTCAGATGGACCAGCAGCCTATCTCTAGGCCGGGGGCGCCAAGCTTACCCAGGAAGGTACATGAGGCCAATGGGGATTGAACCCAAGACCTCCTGAGCGCCACTTTCATGCCTTACCAACTGAGCTAGGCCACTGGATAGTGCCTACCTTTACCCTTCACCCCTGTTTTCTTTTCCTCTTTTTCACTTTTACCCTTCACCGCTGTCCACCTTCCAACCCCGTTTTCCTGCTTCTTTTTTCCTTTTTTTTTTTTTAAACATGCGTGTGTTGAAGGGGAGGGGTAGAACACAAAAGTGTCCCCTGTACGGTCAAAAGGACAAAACTCCCCAGGTTAAGTTCATGCCCAAGTACATTGAACATTCTGACCGGGGGTTACTTTTCACATTGAAAAACCCGATCGGATTGTTTCTGTACTTTTCTCCTTTTCTTTCGAAGTCGAGAAGAAGGGAAAAAAAGGGATAAACTCCCAACATTAAGGTATTCCCATTGGTTGGCATTGGAACTCTCTGATCAATATCTAATATTCATACCCCCCCTCCCTCCCCCCCCCCAAACAAAAAAAAGAAAAAGAAAAGAAAAACACCTTATCTATCAGTAGAGTTACATGTGTGTACCGGTAAGCCATTCTTTGCTCCCTGAAAGATTCCAAGAATATTGCAAATGCCCACCAAATTACGAAAATACCCCGGCCTGCCGCTGTTTGACAATCCCGCTGATGGATCGACCCATATATCCTCTCGTCGATATCCACAGATGGAATCAGCTAAATCAACAACACATCAACCATTCAACTTCATTAATCATTTCATTCACTCGATTCAGCAGTGAATCAATCGATCAATTCAATCAATCAATAACTCAGCAGGGAATCAACCAATCATTTAAATCAGCAGGGGATCAATCATCCAACCAACCAACCAATCAACCAACCAACCAACCAATCAATCAATCAATCAATCAAAGGGATCAACCAATCAATCAATCAATCAATCAGTCAATTACAACCAACCAACTAATCAATCAATCAATCAATCAATCAATCAATCAATCAATCAATCAATCAACCAATTAATCAATCAATCATTTAACTCGGAAGGGGATCAGTCAATCAATCAATCAATCTATCAATCGGTCAATTACAACCAACCAACCAACCAATCAATCAATCAACCAATCAATCAATCAATCTTTTAATTCTGCAATCATCAACGGTTGATCAATCACGATATACATCCAAATTCCCTGAGTCAGGTAATACTCAGACGGGGCCTTAGATGACTCTTTTCTCTCGGAATTGCGGTCAGGTACATTCAGCACTGGCCGTAATTGCGGTCAGTTACATCGAGGACTGGCCGTAGTTGTTGCGGTCAGGTACATTCAGGACTGGCCATAGTTGTGGTCAGGTACATTCAGCACTGCCCATAACTTCGGTCAGATAAGTCCCAGTGAGAGCACGCTCTTCATCAGTCCATCCGACGTACAGACACACAAGACTCTCCCGTAGTAAATGAAGAAGAGAGTACACCGACAAAATGGGGAATAGCTTCAGTACCAATCCGATGATGCCACGTGGCAGCCCTTCACAAACTCAAAACCAACACGATCTACACTCCATCATCGACATCCAATATCACCATATCACCATATCATCATCATCATCATCATCATCATCACCATCATCGTCATCACCATCATCGTCATCATCGTCATCATCATCATCGTCATCGTCATCATCGTCATCATCATCATCGTCATCATCATCATTATCATCATCCATCAGCACAATCACGATCGCCATCATCACCCTCATCCTCATCCTCATCATCATCCTCACATTCTCATCAATATCAACGTCATCAATCATCATCAACATCAACATCATCATCATCATCATCATCCATCAGCACAATGACCATCATCATCATCATCACATTATCACCAACATCATCATCAACATCCTTCGGTGAAGCGAATGAAGCGCGCGCTCTCTTCCCCTACGCTGGAAGTGCCTGGCTCGGCTATTCCGATTTTGTGTTGACGGCCGACTGGTCCTCAGAGAACCCCATCCGACATATCCACCAGTCCGTGTGCACTTTGGCGCCCAGTTTCTCGTAGAAGGAGATGGCCTTCTCATTCCAATTAAGAACCGTCCAATCTACTCGCTGAGCGCCATCGTGCTTGGCGCGCTTTGCCGCTGACATCAGCAACATCGTCCCGAACTTCCTCCCCCTGTACGGAGACCGTACGAACAGGTCCTCGATATGTACGGTCTGGCGCGCCAAAAACGTGGAGTATTTGGGAAAGAAGAGCACGAACCCGACAACCACACGATTGGAATCAACGGTGGATACGAAAGATGACCGATCAGGATCAACGACGTGCGATAGATCTTTCATGTACAGATCTATTGCAGTCTCGTCGTCAATTCCCGCGCGATCTGGCAAGCTCAAGCTGCAGGATTTGCCATCGCCAGAAACTCCGTCCGCTTCTACGTCCTCCTCCTCACAGCTCTTCTTATCTCCTCCTCCTCCTCCTCCTCCTCCTCCTCCAGGATCAACATTCTCAGCGATCTCCAACAGAAGCACGGTCACTTTACACGTGTCCCTGTTGGCGATGGCGTGCTCCATCGCCTCAGGTGTGGCTTTGCAAACGTGGCTCAACTTTTCGAACTCGGCCAGACCGTGCACCAGGGAGGACACCAACGTGGCATCTTCTGGCTTGGCCACGCGGATGTATGCCGTGTGAGTGCCTCTCGTGGAGGCCCTGGCCATCGCCAGCGAGGTGTTGGCTATGGCGGAAGAGCAGTCGGCGGCCATCTCGTCTCTCTCCTTTTCTTCCTTGCCTTCAAATTTCGGACGTTGCCGAGTCAGCAGGAGTCTATCCCACCATTGCCGCCATTGGCGTGTGCTTGCTCTTTTGTACCGTATCTCTCTCTCTCCTTCTTGATATTCGGTTTGTGTGTCTGAACGGCTCCACGAGAGTGGCTGCTTCCTTACGTCTCTTGTTTTTTTTTTTTTTTTTTTTTTTTTAARATGACSCCCCCCCCCCCCCAAAAAAAAAGGATGTAGGGCCTCATCCAGCGGGCGACCGTCTTTCCCAGAACATAAAGCACCCTGAAAATGAATGTACACAAGGTCTGTTTGCGGCCGGATATACGAAGGTATGTTTCCGGCCCGATAGAGTAAAAATGGGGCGTGCCTTGTGTTCGGGGAAGAGGGTAGGTCCGCTGGTAAGGCACGCAAGTGGCATCCAGGAGGTCTTGGGTTCAATCCCCATTAACCTCATGTACCTTCCGGGGCAAGCTTGGCACCTGCCACCTAGAGATAGGCCGTTGGTCTCCCCACCGGCATTGAGCAGAGACTGCTGATGTTCGAAGGGCAAGTGCTGGTCACACTGAGGTAGGATAGTGGGATAGGGGGTGCGCTAGGAGTATTGACGTGAGGATGGGAAGGGAGGTGGTCTCATATTCCAGGACACCCACGGCCCACTGCTCCAGGTGATCACTGTGCACTCAGTGACCGGCCGCTACAACACCATGGACTTCAAAAAAAAAAAAAAAGAAAAAAAAAAGAAAGGGGGACCGGAGGGGAGGCACAGCTAGTGGCCCATCCAAAAAGCTCGGTCCTGATGCTACTGCTTTGAACCCTTGCCGATATCGCCCACCTCCCGTTGCAGGCATCACACCTGCTGGTGGGTGCAGCTCCAGCATGATCCCTCGTTGAAGGCTTGAACACAGATATGGCTGCTAAGGGGTTCCTATAATGACAATAAAAAAGGCCTGAAGGAGTGCATCTTCTCAGTGACAATGGAAGTATTCATCCTTTTGCTCTAAATAGTAACACGTGTATTTTGCCACCTTCTGTGGGCAGACGCACTTGTTTCGGCGAGGCACATAATCTTCGAACCGAGTCCCCTGGGGTGTGGCCCCACTAGCAACTTGTCCTTTGGGACGATACAAGAGAAGCTTTAGCATGGCCCCTGCCCGAGCATGACATGCATAAATAGAGAAGTGGGCCGGCTAGCACAATGTACCCCTATGTGGCAGTGGCATGGAAGGTTCATTACCAATTTTTGGGCAGACACCCCACGTACTTGTCCCCCAGCCTGGCACAGCACACATAAGGATCAATTGGCGTTGTAATGCAGTAGGTTGAGCTGAACTGTTAGATAAAAGAGATTTAGGGTTCGATTCTGGTTGGGACAGTTGGGGTGAACCTAGCACGGCACAGCAATCCTCTCGGGTTGTTTGTGCAAAAAAAAAAAGAGGAGTTGCTACAGCACACGGGAACAGTAGTAGATATTTAGGGGGAGGGAGAGGGTTGTCTAATGGGGTACCTAGAGGGGGTGGAGTGTCTCATGGGATGAGGGAGGGAACATCACTCCTCAGAGGGGCATCATGGAGGGAGATGTGGTCCTTGAAGGGAGTGCTACCAGAGTAGTAGTCTATCCTGAATTACGACAGGCACTTGGTCTGCACCTGTCTTTGGCCGGAACAGGTGTGGACCCCTGTTCCTTAGTGTGGGTGGCAGGATGGCACTGGTAGCTGGGACGGGTGCGGCGTCCTGCAACCCGAGCAGGGCAGGAGCTGGAGTTAGACCACAAGTACTTTGCCCATACATCGGCCTCGGCGAAAAATAGAGCCGCGATGTTTCCACTTGAATGAATTTGGACCGGAGCCGGCGGGCCTGTTTGGCCCCGCATGTCGTGGGTTGGTATATGGCTGCGACTTTTGGAAGTAGTGGTGGTTTAAGGGTAGCTTGGATGAGGTGTTTCCATGGAGCAGTTACAGACTCATTCATCACAAAACTAGGGTTTCGAGCACAGATAGGACTCTCAAAACACAGAATATATATAGCACAACCATTACTGCAAGGTCATACCATCAGAGGAATGCACAATGATGACAAATAACCAGCACAACAACAACAACGACTAGGACAGCAGCAGCTACTTGGGAGGAGTCTAGTGAACAGTCGATGTAGAGGGGAGCAGGTGAGCCATACATATACTGACGATATGCTAGAACCCCTAGGTTGGAATATCAGAACATGAAATTCGAACAACAGCTGTACCAGGTGGGTGTACCCGGTTTCCTCAGACCTTGTCTAGGGGGGGCCATCAGACACTGCCTATGATATCTGGGACGAGTATGATAAGACCAATATACTCCAGGAACCTGGGTAGGTATGGGAGACAATTAGGGGGCTTCCCATAGGACCTGTAGTAAGAATGCTTGCGCCTAGCGCCTTGTTTGACCATGCTTCAACTAGGCCTAAGTAGGGTTCCTGCTCAGCCCTGGTGCCCGCAACTACTGTCCGGTCAGGTCACTCCTCCAAGATGGTAGAAGGGTGATAGTCCTGAGTGATAAACACTGAGATAGTAGGTTCC